TTCCCTAAGACAATGCTGACAAGACACAGTCTGAAGGGCTGAAATCTTCAGTTTGGTGGGTGAAACATTTAAGTAGTACAAAAGCTACAAAAAATACACAGTGGGAACATGATGCATTAAGAACTAAACTCTGCTTTTATTTTTCTTGATGTGGTAGATGGTGGCAATCAACAACTCTGCTTCACCATCAGTTTGTCAGTCTGAGGTTATCACAGATTTTTGTAATTTTAGATCCTTCAGGTAGCCCCACAGAACATCAGAAATTCAGCACTGAATGAACTTAAGCACCACATATGGAGAACTATAGGCCAATTACATTACAGAAGAGCTTGATTCAGAGTCCCAAACTGGTTTATGAGGTTGAAAGTTAGAACTGCAAGATGTATGTAAAACAGCCCCTATACCTAGTCTCACTCTCACATTGAAAAAGTCAGAAGACAATGGTTTCATAAACTTCGACAAATGTAACTCAGAAAAGTAAGTACTGGGAGAGATCTTTGTGTGTATCCTAAATGAGTACCATTAAGTCTAGAAGTCCTAACATCTGGGTGCTTATTTGTCAAAGTGTCAAGTCCAAGGTAAGCCAAAATCCAGTGTATATACAATGTATGACAATTGAGATTGTGACACAAACATAAGATTGGAAAATCTCTCTTTTCGAGAATGGTCACACTCTCAAAGACTTTTCAAGACATCCTTGAATAATGAAAATCCAGTCTACCGGGGAACTAGAAGATAGCACAAACTCTGGAGAATTTGACGTACAACAATATTAAGAGAATTAAACGCAGTGGTAAATCACAAAGAGTAGATGATGTCTCTTGGAGCTCAAATATGAAACTTTCAAACTGCTAGCCACGGAGTACTTAATGTAGAGTACTGAATTTATAAATGGATGTGGAGAGGATTCAGTGATTCATGACTAGCAAGCGTGAATTCTACACTGAACAAATTATCTGAAACTTAAATAAAGTGTTAACTATATAAATATAAAACCCAACAAAATCACGGTAGTCATTTCTTTCTGTAGAAGGAAATCCTCTCTCACCAAATTGATAGTGTTCTCTGAAGAAGCCAATGAGAATGCAGAAACTCTTTAAAAGTTCTTAAAGGAATTAAGTCTCTCTGGGATAGAAGGGAATCACCCTTGTGAATCAACAGTCACCATGCCAAAGAGAATAAAGTGACAAAGTGTGCAGTAAATGCATATTCAGCGTAGCAAAACTGAAACTAATTTCAGAATGTTGCAGAAAAACATCACAATACTGAACAATTGGGGTTGTAAAGCTTTTGAAACCACCCTCCTCCTCCTCCCCCCCAGTAATCTAAGGGACTGAGTGACGAGGAAACAGAATGAACAATAAATTCAATATAAAGTTATGCATGTGTTGAAAACCAGTCCTAGCTTCACATACGAATAATGGAACTGAGCTAACCAGTGGCACTCAAAAATTAAGACTTTGCATTATGATAAAATACACTTATGGTCCATGAGAAAAAAAAAAAATCAGTCCACTGTCCAGTATCAGTCAGTCCACCCACCAACCCAGTAAATAATCAGAAAGGAAAAGAGAAATAAAGAGAATATCATTGAACTGTTCTATAAAAACCCCGTTCTCTCCATTCTTGAATACTGTTGCAGTTCTGGTCCCTTTCCTCGAAAAAAAGGCAAGAACACTGGGCATGGTTCTGAGAGGGGTAAGAAGGATCCAAGCTACAGAACCGTTTCCATCATTAGATACGGAAACCTGTAAAAAATTCATTAACAACTCTTCAGCTTGGAAAAGACAAATTGGCAGAATATGAGAGAGGTTTACAAAACCATAACTGGCATAAAGAAAATGGATAGTGAATGACTACTCATAATGTCCTGATACAAAGGAAGCCAAACAAAGCTAGTAGGAGGCAGGTTTAGAAAAACCCAGAAGTGAATTAACGAGAAGCTCAATATAAGCCAGCAACGTGCGATCGCAGCCCAGAAGGCCAACCATATCCTGGGCTGCATCAAAAGTGTGGCCAGCAGGGCAAGGGAGGTGATTCTGCCCCTCTACTCCACTCTGGTGAGACCCCACCTGGAGTACTGCATCCAGCTCTGGAATCCTCAACATAAAAAAGACATGGACCTGCTGGAGTGTGTCCAGAGGGGAGCCACGCGGCTGATCCGAGGGCTGGACAACGTCTCCAATGAGGAGAGGCTGAGAGAGTTGGGGCTGTTCAGCCTGGAGAAGAGGCGGCTTCGGGAAGATCTTATTGCGGCCTTCCAGTACCTAAAGGGGGCCTACAGGAGAGCTGGGGAAGGACTTTTTACTAGGGCATGTAGAGATAGGATGAGGGGGAATGGCTATAAACTGGAAGAGGGGAGATTTAGATTAAACATTAGGAAGAAATTTTCACTCTGAGGGTGGTGAGACACTGGCACAGGTTGCCCAGAGAGGTTGTTGAGGCCCCATCCCTGGAGGTGTTCAAGGCCAGGCTGGACGTGGCCTTGGGCAACCTGTCTAGTGGGAGGTGTCCCTGCCCATGGCAGGGGGGTTGGAACTCCATGATCTTCAAGTCCTTTCCAACCTAAACCATTGTATGATTCTATGAATGGCTCCTCCTGCAACAGGTCAGAGATTTGAGGGACCCCATGACAGAGAACGTTGTGGTTGCAAGAAAGTTTGCAAAGATTCATGATCATACAAGTGCTTTGAAGACAGCTCTGAGATCTGAAAAGTTTGTCTACAGACAGTTAGTTTGTCAATAAACAAACAGATTCAGAAAATTGCCTGAGCTGAAACAAGGTGGAAAGCAAGAGAATATGGAAAGGAAGTATTACATAACCTCGCCGTGCTTCTGCCCTTCCGTGAATATCCATGTATGGCCTCTTTGCTAGGCACCTACCGCACATATCTGCATAAAATACACACCAGCGCACACATCTCTCTCTCTCTTTCAAATTTATTTCCACATATATAATCTTTGCACAAAGAATGAATAAAACTTCTCAGTAAAGACTTGGCTTCTTCAAGATCTGCCAGAAAAGCTGCTTATTCAGTTCCCTGTCCTCATCTTTATCTATTTCATTCATCACTTCTTGCAGTTCTTCATCCATGAAGTTTTCTGCTTTTTTTTTTTTTTTTCTGAGGTTTTTAAAAGATTTGACAATTTCACTGTCACATAATGCGCCCTAACGCCTATCCAGGCATTTCCTGTCCTTTGAATGGAAATTTCCAGAACTAGCAATGAGACATACTTGTGCACTGTAAGTGCTGAAGCGTGCAGGGGTACAGATGAAAATAGGAAGTGAGACCACAGGAAGAAAAGGCTGCGTTGGTTTTTCAATAATCAACTACGAGTAGATGATTGCATTCATTGGTATTGTAAGACCTCAGTAATTCATTTTGCAGCTGGAGAGTTCTGCAAAAAGAGAAGCTGATCACTGACCTGTCTGAAAGGTAAATATTCATGGAAAACTTTTTTTTCCCCTTTCTTCCTAATAAATGAAATTTTAATTTAAAGAATAAGCCTTCACAAGTGTACATACATGTATACTCACTTACTGCAACCTATAGCTGCTCGTTTGCTTTGATTTACTTGGTTTTTTTGATCCACACTTCTTTAAGAAGCAAACGGTGAATTTCAGAAATGTTGCTGAGCTAAAGCATCTGGCTCATTTCAATGTGTTATGTGGAATAAAGCAGAACAGTGCTCCCGGCGACAGCAACTGGGGTAAGTTTTGATGGATAAGATAAGCCCAGATAGATCTGCTGCTGCAAATTTGGAGGAAGACAAAATAAAACTCCCATCAGACAAATTTGTGAGTGCACTGACCACGTGGGAGAGAAAAAGTGAGAAGGATCTTTTCTCCCTTACGTTTCTTTTAGCTTGAAAAAATGAAATGAGATGTTCAGCCAAAGTATGTTGCTAAATATGCAGCACAAAACCAGAAGGAAGGGAAAAGGCAACGCTGCCAGCAGCAAGACACTGATCTCTGCATGTAACAGAACTATTCCTAGAAGTATAATTTTTCCTCTCTCATTTTCTTCCTCCCACTTCATGCAAGAGGGCACACAATGGGGAAATTACGTATGTCATATGGATCTATAAAAGGGGAGACGTTAGTAAGAACAGCTTTAGTTATGTACTTTCCCGTTACGAACAAGCTAAATGTAACCATGTCCCATCTCTGATTCTTGAAAACTCCTTATGCAGACAGTATACATTTAAGAAAAATGCCCATCTTGTCAAGTGGCATTAGCAACACATTATTCTGCCTTTAAATATATAAATATTTTTCAGACAATTCCAATAGACTATAATAAAATCTACTAAAGCAATCATCATACAATTTTATGTTATGCATTAATGGCTGTTTTCTGATACAAACAAAATTCTGACTTCTCTCACAGCACTTCACAACAAAAGAAAAAGTAAATAGCGTAAACTGAATCTTGACTCCTTTTCTTTCTAGGATTAAGGTAGAAGTATTGGAATAGCATGACAGGATGTTGAAGGAAGAAGAACAAAGAAAAGATGTAGACTGAAATAAGAGCTAAGATGACATGAAAGGCTTCAAACATTCTCTTTTAATTGAAATGTTCTGCAATTAAAGCCAATTTTGATAATGGTGAACATCATGGGTTTCACTCATATTTTACTCGTTCCTTCTTTTTATCTTAGGCAGAGGTATGATTCTCTTTACTCCTTCGTACTGCCAGAAATCCCAGTCAAAATGCAAACCTTTGATTACAACAAACACATCCAAAACTTGAGAATTGTTGCCCTTGATAGCTTACCTCTAAGGATAACCTTTAGAAATGCAGCAAAATTCTTTAGAGCCAATTTGTAATCCTCAACCCCCTTAACACTGGTTTAGTTATCAGAGGCGAGTAAACAAGATTTATTTTACAGTCTCTGCAGCTTACATCCTTCCTGACCTCCCGCAAGGCATACCCAGACTTGCCCACTATAATACGGGATGAATGCCACCGGTGTCCGGCCATGGGCTGACATTCTGTTCTGTATCCAGCAGAGCTGACAGAAGTCACCGCTGTACTCCTCCCCCTGCTACTCAACACGTTCATACCAGAGTTTAGCCCCACTGAATGATGTGGGAAGACGGAACGTTGCCTGTAAGGAATCCATAATTCTCTAGCTACAATAACCTGGTTAGCGTCCAGAGTTTAAGCAGGTGGTCTGAGCCTGCCTCACCAACTCTGCCCAGCTATGCGGCAGAGCTGGGAACGTGGGGATTTCTAGCAAAGATGAAATGATGAGTAATTTGGCATCTTTTTTTGTTTGTTTGTTTGTTTCACAGGCCTAGCCAAACACAGAAAAGGACCCATGTTCACAGCTATATAAAACCACGATGGCAGTTAGCTAGTCCAGTCCCACCCCCAGGGAAAAACGGTCCTGTGCATACCTCAGTTCCATTTCAACCTGCTTGGTTTAAAACTAAAAAATTTATTTGCAACTGCTATTCCCCAAAAGCACCTAAGTCTGGTGACTGGAACGCTCTCTGCTCCACACTGTGTGCCTCTAACGACTGATCAGACCCAGCAGCGACACGTGTATTCTGTGGAGATTACACTTTTCGTTAATTGGCCATGTTCAATATAAAGAAAAGGAGCGGGATAAATAGATTAGTCTGGTTCCACACAAGCCATGGAGGCAGATGAAAAGAGCATCGAACAGGGAAAATGACGGAAACATGAAATAAGCACATTACACAGACACAAGATTAGTTCAGGCTTTCTGTTGATCACAAGAACTGGATTTCATCACTCCAGATAAGACATCCCACACTGTCACCGATTCCAAGCCTATCTGCAACGATTGCACTTTATGTACCAGTGCATATAGGCATGGCTGCAGTTAACAGTCTGCAAGTTACAGTTTTAATTTGCTTGATGTTACAAGTATACAGTAAACATTTAAATATGGGCAGGTTTTAAGCCATACGTCTTAGAAGAAACAAGAGAGGCAATACTTATAGAAACGGATCAGTGACTTGAAAAGTAGCAGTTCTAAAAAATAATACAAGGATCTTGGCCGAGAAGTCATCTAAACACAAATTCCTAACGGTGAAAAGGGGATATGCCTAACAATGCATATAGTATTTCTTTTTGATTTGGTGCTGGTACAGCCCACGTGCCCTTTGCTAATGTTCACATTTCAACAGGAATGTGAATAATCTTGAAAAGGTTCAGAGAAAACAGACACGTGAGAACACTTAAGGATTAGAAAGCACAAAGCTCTCAGTGGTTCAGCATACACAGGCTTTTCAGGAGACGACTATGGGTTACTTTCTCCTCAACCTACATATTCCTACAGGGAAACAGAACAGAAACATCATCAGTCCAGTAGACAAAGTCTGTAACTGCTACTAAGACTGGAAACTACCATTTGGAAATCTGTACCAGAAATAATGCAAAGTCTTAAGGGAGAAGGCAATTACTCGAGGATTTTACCAGAGGAAGTAGTGGGTTTTCCATCGTGTGCTATTTAAAAATCAAGCCTGGATGTTCTTTTCCAAAAAGCCATATTTTTGTCTTAATCAGCCCGTGAATATCCTGTGTGTCATACAGAATCTCAGACTGGGCAATCACAAATCCCCCCTCTGGGCATATAAGCTATTAATACGTACTTCTGAATTCATGCCGACTGAATAAACTGAGAAAGATATGTATGTCAGCGAAAAAAAAACCCTAGTGACTAAGCAACTATCTTGTTCTTTAAACCCAACTAGTACTCAACAGGTTGTTCTGCCGATATGGACTACAAATCAGGTCAGGAAGTATAGATTATTATTACATGCGTCTGTTCCTGAGAGACTGATAATGAGATCAGGAGCTAAAAGTACAGAAGCCTCAGCTAGGAGAGACTCGAATGAAAGGATCCCAGCTCCGCTCCAGCATTCTGCAGACAGAAGACGCGACGGCAGACTGGGGTGTACTAAGTCATTCTACAGCACGAGCCAAATAGAATCGCTGTCACAGTATTTACTATGATTTAAAGCAAAATTTCCTTTTAGGACAGATTACATGGCTTAGCGCAATAAGCCCACATACAAACCTGAGAGATCACAATCGAACACGCACAGCTAATATACATATTTTTCTCAGCACAGTAGCCAAGCAGCATTCAGCTTTACCTTTTTGCTACCACTGTCAACATTCTCCCAATTGTCTTCAGTTTTTGTTTTGTTTTGTCTCACAGATGGACCATTTACTCGTAGCTATCATTTTTCAATAATTTATTCTGCATAATCACAGTTGTCAGACTAAATGTTGCTTCTGTGGTTCAGCAAACCGCGCAAGGCCAATATTCTCATGCCAACGAAGAGAAAAGGAAAGAAAATATGAGACACAGGTGCTCTCACTCTCATATTGCCTGGTCCTACGTATGGCCCAGCCTGTACTGATCAGTTCCTTTTTCAGTTGACAAGAGGCTTAAAACAAGGTCTTTTTAGGCAGGAGGGAAGGCATCCAGAGCATGTGGCACACAGAGATAGAGGTAACTTGGAAGACATTCAGTTATTAGTAAATAACTGCTTTTCGTTGAACACTGCATGAGAGAGACACTCCCAGGTGTGGCAGCCTGGAAGAAGGGGCTCCCGAAAAGGACAGTGGACAAAAAGCAGAGACCACTGTGAGCTTAACATCACAATATACTTTAACTTGATGAAAATATGTGGTGAAACTCTGATATTACTCTGATATTACTAGAGGGAGATAAAATGAGATTGAACCTTCTAGGGTCTTTAGAGAAACACAATTTCCAGTTCAAAATGCAGCATGTTTTTGGTTATAGATACGGGAAAATAAAAAATTGAAAGAGACATTTGCTTATGACTGATTAAAATTCACAAAGCCTCTGACACCTTCAATTTCCCATTACTTTCAACAGCTTCTGCATTTTCCAAAATTATTGTGATATCAAGACTATAAACATTTTTTATTCTATCAGAAAGGTGTACATAAATAGCAAAGGGTGCACATTAATCTAGACAGAAGTTGCCTCATCAGAAAGACTTCAAAATGTTCAATTTAATTATTTAAATATGTTTATTTTCAGAAAAAGAAAACAGATTTAGAAAGAAGGGATACTTTTAAATTTAGATTTATGCTTTATTATATTGATCGAAATAAATTTGCTCAAGTAAATGAGCATAGAAAACTCACCTTCCAGAAATTATCTACTTTGCCATAAACGAGAGATTGATTCTGCCTTTTGATGTCATTAATGTGTTTAATGTCACTGGAATTCAGATGCTGCTCTACCACAAATCCAAGGAAGCTGTTATCCGGAGTGTGAGCTGCAAGAAATGGAGCATATTCAAAACCTTTTAAAGTATCAGTTAATGGCACAAAAGCGTGAATGTTGTCAGAAAAGTAGATATAAGGAACAAATTATTCCTTCACATTCAGACTGAGAGATACATTTGCTTGCTTATTATTGAGAATAGTTCTTATTAATTTTAAGTCCTTCTGCGTATGTCTACTGGAGTAAGCAGTTATTTTCTGGCTGGTTTCTGACAATAAAAATTCTATAGCTGGACCAAGGCCAATGATAATGATTTTTTATGTGCTGTATTTTTTATTATTAGAGAGAAGAGAACCAGAGACAAGAGAATCCAGCTTGACAATCTCAGAGATGCAATGCCAACAATTTGAAAAAACCCTGAATCTATGCTTGCGAACAAAACTGTATATTGCTCAACATCATAAATAAATTTTAGTATATTTCTTGGGTTCATCTCCTATATTGGAAGAGCTAAGACCAACCATCCAACTCACTGCCTATTATGTATCCATGCTAACTACTAGCCTACAAAGTCACACTACGCACATCCAAATACAAATTTCACTGCCTAATTCATTAAGATATATCCATCATAAAACATTGAAAGACGACAACCGATGTTGGCAAAATTTTTGTTAATCCAGCGCACAGACAAAAGAAGTGCCTGCAAAGGATATGCAATTTACTTTTGGTTTTCTATATTATTTTTAGACTCTGTTGGCCTTTTTCCAGCAGTGACATCCAGCAATACTAGCCACTGTTCTCCTCCAATAAAGACACAGACCTATAGGCTCATTAAAACTATGGGTTTTGTTTTGGGTTGTTTTTTTGTTTCTTTTTTTTTTTTTTTTTGTAAACAGCCTTTCATTCCAGGGACTCCAATATTCAAGGCTTCAGGTAAAAATCCATCCCTACTATATAAAAATTACTCCAACATGTGGGATTTTTGTGCCTTTCTAAAAAGTGTCATAGCCTCACAAGTTTACATAGAAATGGGCTGCAATAAACACTAGGATCTCCTCTCTAATCCTCCCTTTTAAATTCTGGCACCCAAGCTGACAACTTCTTACTAAGCACATTTTGCAAAGTTAAAAAAAACCAACCACCAAACCAAAAAAACACCCCAAGCACAACGCCCCAGGCACTTATGATACATGCAAAGCTAAACCTATAGTCATAGTTATAAAAAAAATAAAATTCTATTGCAATTATGAGGTTTTGCCTTTTGATTCCTGAAAATCAGCCAACTGGATAATGCAGTAGAACAGAGAAACCATACACAGCGTACACTTCCCTCTGCCATTACATTTAGTCTTTCAAATGACAATTACTGTTTTTCACCAAAAAAAAGCCTCAGCAACAGCTAGGCACTCACTTAGACCCAAGGACTTTTTAGAATTTAGCACAGCAAATGGCATGTTGCAAATATGCCTGAAAAGGGGCATTTTTCCATCCTTTCATATTTTTGGATGAGAGACTGCATTCAAAGGAAAGGCAAGGCAGTACACACTCAAAAGAAAAATAAACCTTTGTTAAAGTTAGCACTTAGAACTGGTGGAATTCAGTGCCTCAAACATCACTGACGGGAAGCATTCAGATGGATTTTTATGCAAGATCATGCAGTTTTAGAAGTACCAGTGCTGTTACTTTGCATAAAAGACTTTAAATAAAAAACATAAAAAGGGGAAAAAAAACCCTCATGGTTCTGGAAGGCTCACAGAACAGTGAAGCATTTGGTAATATGCCACAGGTTTGAATAAGGCTTGCTTGTTGCTCAGCAATAATTTTCTGCCCTTATAATCAGAGTTCTCAAAACATAATAGAGTCTGGGGATCTCGGGAAGCTGTCCAGGGTTCCAATCTGTCATAAAATCTTTACTGATGCGTAACACGCACTTTTAATCACAACCCCATAAAGACGGTACTATCTCTGCAGCAGAGAACAAAACCCCAAAATTAATTTTAAGTATCGTAAACCATGCTGACTCTTCTGCGCCTAGTGCAAAAAGAAGCAAAATCCTTGAATCATCCATAGCACTGGAATCACTCGTGCTTCAGAATGAGTTTGCTTGCAATCTATTCACCACTCTCCCTGCAAGGGAAAACCTGCAGTCATTTCCAGTAGTAAAGACTGGAAACGGTTATTTATTGAAATTCCAGTATAGTCATACTATTCTGAAAATTCATTATGAAGTGATTTGCTCCAAACAAGAGACTAACAGTAATCTATACTGCCGTGACAGAGACCTTCTCTAGGGAGAGGATTTACTTTCTTCTGCACTTCATGGAGTGGGATTGAGGAGTATACACACAGCTGTACCACAAGTATTCATGCAACTGTTCTCCTTAAGTGCATCATCACCCTTGGTGCTATCTTGAACAGGACCTTACACAAAAATTTCCCAACAGCCGGACTACTTAAATAGAGCAGAATCGAGCTTTCAGCATCTTTTCCATTTAGGACATAAACTAATAAACATTAGCAAATCCATTTAGGACATAAACGAATAAATATTAGCAAATCACGTGGATACGGAACAAACTCTGCTTACTCATGTCCAGACACAAACTCTGCAACCACTTCCAAGTCACATTTCCCCACCACACGTTTTGTTACTTGCTTGGAAACAACTGTGAATGCAGTCTTTTAATCTTTTGAACAACCTTCACTTATATTTGTCTGGAAAAACTTGCACAGCAGATGTTGACAGACAAAATAGGCCCCTCTCAAGAGTTTTACAGGGCAACTGAAATCAAAAGCGTGTCAACCAGACAGCAGCATGTATAATTCTGCTATGAAATGGAGAGAAGTTTGAAAGACTTGACTATGAAGTCTGATGAGAGAGAACAGTGCGTGCTCTGGCCTTAGTCACACACAGGGACCGCCACCAAACTTTGGAGGTCAGGCTGGTCACTACCAAGTGTTTCTTTACAGCCTTGGGCTGAGAAGGTGCTGCACACAACAGTGTGCTTTTTCTTCTTTCCTAAACCTCACTTACCCTCAAGCTAGCTGGCAGGAATGAATCCTGCTGCACCTTTCAGAGATAGCAAACTTGAACTACTACTACAACGTGCAAGAGAAAGATCCTTTTATTCTAGAAGCTAGTGCCATAAAGTCAAAGACTAAGGCTACAGTAGGTCATAGCAATAATTTAATCTCACCTGACTTATACAGAATTTATATTTTTTTTGTGTTCTGTTTCTTTTTTATGGGTTTTTTTTTAAGATACTTAATGATGCTTCAAAGATATACAGCAATGCTGAAATCTACTACTTGTTTTTCAATAGCTTTGTACACTGCTGGCAAATAAATGTGAATCACTTCACCTCAGGATGGATGCTCACAACATGAAAATAAGCGAGGTGAAAAATTTGAGAAATACACAAAAAAAGTGAAGACAAAAAATTATTTTTGCGGAGTGTTAGTTCATTAATCTTGAACACAAAGAAATAGCAAAGGAATTGTGCTGCTCAGTTGTTGGGTGGAAAAAAACAAACCAGAAATACAACAACACGGTTAACGTAGTTACAAACTTCAGTTTAACCTGATGAAATGCAAGAGTGCAGTTTATAAAACTGCATTCTATCAAGTTCCTCAAAAACCTGTCGTTCCACGGCAGGATTTGAGAATGCAAAACTAGCAAAACCAAACTCACTGATACTTGAAGAAAAAGCCAATCACCAGTTTCCACAGGTGCCCTGAGAATAAAGTTCCCTACCATTATTTATATTGAGCTGATATTGCTATTTTCCAGTTGCTGGATTGAAGCACAACAGAGCTTTTGCATAGTCTACAGACACTTATTGACACACGATTCTGCCCGTTTAGCAGCTGCATTTTATTAATCCATGAACTTGTCTTTCATAATACAAAATTCTTCTCAATGATAGCATTCCTTTTTAAAGCTCCAACTTATTTATAAACACAGGGATACTTACGGAACATTGTATAAAACTGCTGTGGATTAAGGTTCCACTTGCCCCATGGTGTCTTGTGGCCTTTAGACTGGGCATAATGGGCATGGTTAAACTCTGGTTCAGTACCAAAGGAATCCAGAACTCTTAGCATACACCTAAAAGAAAAAATAAAAAAATTTACTGTTGGTACACATGCATATGTATACATGTGTGTGTATATATACATATTATGATAATTAAGAAGATGTGTTTTGGTTTTGTTTGCAACTGTGGAGGATTTATAAACTGAAAGTGCATTTTAATTTCAAACATTTCTGTTCATATTACAAAGACATTATGATCAGCAAATCCAAGGACATATCAGACATTCACATAGCAACCCCAGAGCTTATTTTGGGTTTCTTTGTTCTTACAGAATGAAGTTATGTTTTAACATCCAAGTAGAGCTTATGGGAATGCTACTGTGGTCACCTACATTCCTGGGGCTCTGAAGCACAATTCAGGCAGAAGAAAAGAGGATTCTTCCTCTGTTTTCTAACATTCTCACTCATTACCACAAAATCAAATGCAACAGCCAAGGGCGACATGCCAAGAAGATCAGAGCAGAATAGTATTTAGCCTTTAGACAATTGTATTTAGTCTCCAGGTTCTGACTTTTGGGTCAATTAGACCTACTGGAGAAGCACTGAAGCCAGCTTAATTTGCTGAATGCTTGCAGTCAGACAGACCATTTATTTGTTTATGAAACATTCTGTCACAGACTTTTGAAGAAGCAATATAAAAAGTCAAGTGTCTGCAACAACCAGTCTACGACTGAGGGAAACCTTGGCTTTGGATTATAAAGGGTCTGGGATGAGAGAATCATGCTCAGTCCTTTATTTAAACTCCTATTAATTCCCTGGAAAAAAGTTTACTTCATTTACGAGTGGCTCCTTTCAAAAAAGGGCCCGTAGTACATGGGAACCAGAAAAAATCTCAGAATGAAGGCGGCGGCACAACAGCCTACTATACAGATTCTAGAAGTTATGTTTCCAAAATGCAGCCTGCCAAACCTTTGGTATGGCTTGGACAGGAGCTTTATGGCTGTCACACCGACCATTGGCTCCACTGCAAATGAACTGGATTGTGTGGCTCCAAAGCAGCTGACCCTACCATTCTTCCGCCCTCCGCAAACAAAATTTTTAGGAAAGACTTACATAGGATGTGTTCCTACACCACGTACCACTATGTTATACAGACATGAACTCTTATCACTTGTCACTGGGCTTGTACGTGCTAAGGAAGAGACACAACCTCACAGGTGGCAGAGAAGGTGAAAGTTACTATTAAAAATGGCTATATTTCCCAGTCTTCAACATTTCCTGTGCTCCAAGCATAAATCCTGTTCAGTAAACTACCAGGATTTTGGCTTGAAAATGTGAAAGAATTTAGCCCCCAAAAGGTGAAAGAACTTTGCTCCAACCATTTTTCAGCTTTAAAAGATGGAACAATTTAGTCCCAAAAATACATTTACATATTTCTTATATGTTGCTCCTTTCTCTAAAGTATCCATTAAATTCGGAAATAGAAAAAAACCCAGCAACTTTTAAACTCTTATATGCAATGCCACCTTTGTATTTGAAAGTACAAACAGAGCAAGTTTACTTTTATTTTAATCTTCACAGACATCTTTCAAGCAAAAAGAAAGTCAAAATATACAACACATTATGATTCACTGAACAACAAAGCTGACAGATCAGTTTCTGTGCAGTGTTTTATGTCAACTGTTCTCAATGAAAATATTTTACAACAGTGGCAATTATCTCTGCATCATACAAAATACTCCAGCAGGACCAAAACAACTTCTGCACTGATGAATCATTCAGTAATAAAAGCCCTCTTATTTCTTGGCAGGCCTTAAAACAAAATCCTTATCAAATATACAGCTTTTGGGCAGGTACTTGAGTACAGGGGAATGAAAAATGGGTGAAAGCTACTGAAAAACGGCAACATCACTGGAGTTCGTCAAATTACACATGTAAGGAGCACTACATTGCAAGCGATCATCTCAAAGCGCTCTGCTTCCTCTCTTTTTCCTGTATTCAGATGTATGGTACGTAGCACTAACTGTTCACAAGTTACACACAAGGGATGTGTGTAACTCTGTCCAATACACACAGCGGCTCTGAAGCAGCAGGACAGGAAACGTGATGCAACGGAAACAAAGCTACACCGGGAAGCAGGGAAAACAAAAAATATTTACAGGATTCAGGCATAAAGTAAGTCGGAAAAGAGAAAAATATCACAGCAGAAAGTGCAAGTGTGTGCAGAATGGTATGAAAGATCAAAGGTTCAAGTGGTGAACCTAATCCCTGGAATGCGGCAGAAAGGAACTAGCAAAGATTTAAAGTTTAGAAATTGATATAAATAATGCCAGTTATACTGAACCGATATTTTAACATATGTAGGAGCGCCTCAATTTTCTGACCAAGTACTATATTCTCCATTTGTTTCACTTCGTGGTTTAAATCTCTTTCAATTGAACTATTTTAAAACAACATTTTGATTTTACACGCAAAGTTTTAGCATTTCTGAAGTGAAATGATTCATTTTGAAAATGGCAAAACGGTATTTTTTTTTTTAAAGCAGGGATACATTTTAAATAAAAATACTAATTTAGTGTGATTTTAACTTTAGTTTTTCACTCTGTTTCTCACTCCTTCCCAACGTGCCACCTAGCTTTAGCTGGCAGTCTCAGAGAATTACAGCATGACTTGGAATTGGTGTCCATTCAATGACTAATTAAAAAGAGGATTGGTGGGTAGCAAACTGCTCACAGAAACATCCATATTAAAGTCTTTTACTAAGATATTAGAAGTGACAATTTTGGGGCTTATAATAAAAATTTAGACAGAAGTAACCCAAGATTATGACCATTTTTAAAGTGACTTTTTCCTTAAATATTAGGTATAACCACAATCTTAACTGGGCTATCCCAGTGGAAGTATTTACGCACCTTTATTCATATCCTTTTCCCACCCGAGGTTATAATTTTACCCTAGTTATTTATACGTCATCTTTGTCTACACCAGCAATGCTGTCCTGCAGCACCCATCACTGGGAACAGCTAGAGCCTATGCCAGCATAAACTGTTAAATTAAGGGTACGTATATGCCAGTGGCTGCAGACATCTTCCTGGGAGCAAGCTGGTCAAACCCAAACCAATTCTGGTTTGGAAGCTTTGTAGGTGCATTGAGCTCAGGCACAGCAATGTGCCAGTACAGATACAGAGACTCCAGACTATTTTGGTTTATGTCCAGCCAGCCCAGATCATAGAATCATAGAATGGTTTAGGTTGGAAAGGACCTTGAAGATCATCGAGTTCCACCCCCCCTGCCATGGGCAGGGACACCTCCCACTAGACCAGGTTGCCCAAGGCCACGTCCAGCCTGGCCTTGAACACCTCCAGGGATGGGGCCTCAACAACCTCTCTGGGCAACCTGGGCCAGTGCCTTACAACCCTCAAAGTGAAAAACTTCTTCCTAATGTTGAATCTAAACCTGCCCTCTTCCAGTTTATAGCCATTCCCCCTCGTCCTGTCACTACATGCCCTAGTAAAAAGTCCTTCCCCAGCTCTCCTGTAGCCCCCTTTAGGTACTGGAAGGCCACAATAAGATCTCCCCGGAACCTTCTCTTCTCCAGGCTGAACAGCCCCAGCTCTCTCAGCCTCTCCTCATAGGAGAGGTGCTCCAGCCCTCGGATCATCCTCGTGGCTCTCCTCTGGACACGGTCCAACAGGTCCATGTCTTTCTTATGTTGAGGACTCCAGAGCTGGATGCAGTACTCCATGAACAACTCGTATCTGCCTATAGAAATCCCTGCAGACACACACATTAACTTTCAGGCCACTCAGTACTTGCATTTAAAATGTAAAAATTTAGTCAGAAAATAACCCTCCTAAAACAGATGTATTCTAGAGAACATGTAAGAAGCAGAAATGTTGCTCATTTTTCAGGATAGCTGTCATGTTAATTTATTTCAAGAATAAAGCCAGTTGGATTTCTGGCATATGGGAATGAGTCATTGCTAGAGAGACTGCAGAAAAATGAAAAAAAACTCCACCAGATTCTTATGTGCTACTGTACGGAGGATGCGGGTGCTAAGAAAGGCAATGAGCTGCACTCCTCGAACTATATTAAGCTACTAATTTTTATGTTGCTTCATTGCACATAAACTGCATTCAAATATCCAAACTTCAGAACTGAAAAATACAGCACGTTCAGGCATTCTGCTGCTTGAAAATAAGGTGCACTCAAAAATGGCATCTGTTTGCCTGTACTCATGCTATTTACAGCACCAATTATACCCCAGATAAAGCAGGTACTACCAAGAGTCATCGGTGCTGCAGATCTCAGACGTCCAAAATAGTATTTCAGTTGTTCAGAAATACTCACCCCTCAGAGCAGCACGGCCATTCTTTTCAGCTAGCAGTTCTAGAAACCTCATTTGCAATTACCAAAAATTTCCTCATGGGTCAAGTTCACTCACAAAGATTATAAACAGCACTCTCACCAAAAGACTGTTCTGAAGGCATTGGTGTATTCTACCACTCTATTCCAGTCTGAAGTGAATATACAAGTTTTCACTCGTATTTGAGCCTGCTCTGCATAAACCAGACTGAGCTGACCAGCACTTCTGCTGAAAAACTATCGCATAAAGAAAAACACTTCTTTCAAGACAAAGAATTACTCCTACTGACAACAAATACAACTAAGTGAGAAAGTGAAATTTGTAAAGAACAAAGGCTATAAGGCAGCTTTATTTGTGATAATGTTTATTTTACTGGAATGAATTAAACAAAGACATGTAATTATGGCCTTACACTGGACTTAAAGTTTTAACTTAAAAATGTGTTGATGACAAAATTTAAAAGGTAACTCATGATGCTGAGAGAAAAAAAAATATTGCAAGAGGATCCTCAAATAGGAGATAGCTTGAATGAATGAATTCTTCTGCTCTAATCAATTCTGATAGTCTCTGGTAGACTCTGGACCCCATTTTGTACACTAAACTTGATGAACAATATCAAGTTATTAGAGAGATTCCCAACAAATGCAACAAGCTTGATGAAAGGTTTACAAAACCTGAATTATAAGGAATGATCCAAAACTCTAACTTCGTTTTGAAGAAAAGCAAACTGAAGCAAAATCGGTATATAAGATGTTCTAGAGACTGGCAGAGAGCAGAAGGAAGTAATTTATTCCCCTGAACCACAGTAGAATAAACAGTAACGGGCAGTTTGCAAGAAAACAGGGGAAGAAAAACACTGTAGAGAAAACCTTACCAATGTAAACCAGTTGCAGGGGCATCTTTTGGAGTCCTCAGTAAAAGATCAGGCAAAAATCTCTCAAGAAGGACAAATACATCCAATCTACTTTTCAGCAAGGGCATGGACTAGATGATGTCCCCTTCCATCCCATGAAATCCAACGTTGTAGAAGAGAGGCATTAAGTAATTTTTTTCTTCTTCAAAAGCCTAACAAAAGCTTCTATACTACCCCAAGGTATTTATGTAGAGTTAAATTTAATTCTACTCTCCTAAACCAGAAGTCAGTCATTATGACAAATTATGAATCAATGAAAAACAGATTGGCAACTTATGATTTAATGATTCATGAAATAAGCAAGAAAAATTGAAGAGCTAATCTAATAATCTCAATGTCATGGTGTATTTCCCTATCTTCATTACAGAATATACCAAATAGGAAATTGAAAGCAAAAGGGAAGAAACATTTTAAATTTTTAAGTATGCTTTTATATCCTGACCACAATACTGTATGTGATTGCCTAGCGACAATTACATCTGGCAGGCAGACAACCAACTGTAGCTCAGTGGAAAATGGGATTATCTTTATTAGCAGGCTCCTAAACCCCAGAATATCCATTTACTCCTCAACTTCAAAAAAGAGATTAACAGTAATCTAATCTGCAACATTGATCACACTACTCTCGTTTAAAATTACGCTGAAAAGATCCAATGCTCTAGAAAATCCTGAGGTAGAGAGAAAACGATTTCTCTGCCTGCAGTGAACACCTTTCAATACCCTCCTTCAAGTAGGATTTACCGGACTCTACAGATGCTGAAACACAGCTAATTCGATTAGGTATGAAAAATCAAAGTTAGTAATTTAGATTTGGTTTTATTTCATGCCAATATGTATTCATACAACACATGGGAGGCTTGCTGATTGAAAGTTATTGACAAAAAGAAACGCGGTTCTAAAACTGCAGACACTAAGGTGGCTGGACAAAGTAATTTCTTGTGACTGCCATCTTCCATTTCTAATGGAAAGATGTTGATAGATCACAGAAGCAACAACTACTACAGTTACCAGATTTCTTCTTTAGACCTACCCCTGAAGAAAACTCTCTGCTTAGCGTCTTAAGGGATGGAACAGAAAAATTTGCATTGCGGTTGTTGGGTAATACAATTCAAAGAGAAAAATGTCCACAGTCATCAATCCTGCATGGCTACAAACACTGACAAGCAAAACATGCCTTTGGTATTCCAACTAAACAACAAAATCCAATAGTCTCTCAGCTCATCTACTAATTTACAGAACAAAGCGTGGGGATAGGGGGAAATGTAAAGAAGGGAGGGAAAGAAAGGCAAAGATGATGACTCAACATGATAATATAATTCATTAAAATTAAAAATGTTTGAATCCAAGAATCCCAGACTTGCTGGGGAGGATAAAGAAGGTATGCAACAAACAAGTAATAGCCCCTTTACTCCTACGAGTGAAAGACAACAGAGAACCACATTTTTAGTTTTACGTAAATTCAAATTCATATGGATGTACTCACCTCAGTATTTTGACACGTGTTATTCAACAAAAGCTCTTTAACAAAGCAGTTAAGAGGTCAAATAAGTGTTATACTTACTGGTAATGTACCCACGATGGACCAAGGGTTTTCTTAAACTGAGTGAGTCCCACAATATCAATGTAAATGAGTTCTACAACTTTATCCCCCTGGGTAGGGCAGCCAGATCTGTTACCCACAACCTTCTTCATAATCCTAAAAAAAGAAAGAAGGAATACAGAAAAGTATTACTTTCCAAATACCTCAAATAGACACTGTAATACTATTTATAGCAATAATTCCCCTTCCCAAAAAAGCCTTACTCTTATCTTTTCCAAATCAGGAAGCATATGAGAACATTCAAATGCTAAAGATGTTCAGCTTTTATTAAATAACTGTTTATACATCAGTGAAGCACTAATTTTCACTAAAAACCTCATCTAGTTTAAACAACAAAAGTAATATGGTTGGAATGTTTAAAAATAGTGTGCTTTGAAATTATTTGAAATAATTTCTGACTTCTATTGACAGCTTTATAATAGAAGAGCTCTCTATAAAATCATGCTGTCATGTTTGTTATAAAAACCTGAAAGCTACTGGAAAAGTGTATGTGCTCAAGCTTAAAACAGATGTTTTATGCCTAATGCTGAACTAGTACGGCAAAGCAAGACAAAGGTGAGTGAGGTAGCAATTTGACCTAACATAAGCAATTAACTACATCAGAAGTAATGTGTTTAAAGGATTTAAACCTTCATTTTAAAATGAGATACTGAGTGAAGAACAGCAGAAACTGAAGAACAGCACACAGAATTAGGCTAGTCTGTAACATTTCCTATTGCAGCTGGTTAAAGCACCTGGAATGTTAAAGAATAAGCTGCTTAGTTTGAATTTTACAACATTCATTTATGAAGTCTCAGGAGCCTGAAGCTACAATGAAAACACATTATCCTTTTCATAGCACATATACTTAGCTCATGAAAATAATCTTATCATCTGTTTAGTGAATTATCACTTTCATTTTACGCTTCAAGAAATTAGATACTGTTAATAGAAGCTTCAAGAGTTTACAATTCTTTTTTTTTTTGTATTCCAGTTTCAAAAGCGAGAGTAATCTCCTTACTCCTTGAGCTCTGCCAGTGAAGCTGAAATCCTGATGTCATGGCCCAGTAAGTAGAGAGATGTAATTAAATCACTCCACTGGACTAATTCACCAAGTGGGCCACCGCTAAACGCATTTTCTGCAATCTTGAATCCAGATTCTTTTGTCAAAAGCCCCAGATGAACAAGAATCTGGAAAGGAAAGTCATATGTTAGAGTTATCGACATTAAACATGCAACTATTATGCTTCACAGAATTGTTTTTTTCTATTAAATTCCAACTATGGGCAAAAAAAATCAACCAAAAAAAATCCAATACTCCCACCCTAATAATTTCATTTCTAATGGATCTCTATTATAAGAATGTTACTGCATTGTTTTGCACAATTATCTGTCACCAGATCAGTAATGAAACAAACCCCCCAAATCAGTGTTATTCACACAACAATCTGTAATTCTGCACAGAAAGTTGTGGCTCACATTAAATTATTGTGATTGAATAACCGCTTATATTCTCAGGTAGGATATACTTGCTTATGTAAGACAATATAGTTAAGGAATGGTATGCTGTTGTGAGCAAGCCATTAAGAACTTGGAGAGACTGCTTAGGAGTAACAGGATGCTTTCCGAACTACTGTCTGTTGGCACCACAGAGTTTTCTTTGTAGTTCCTTGAAATCTGCGCTTGGCTTTCTAATGAAGCGCAGAAATTTAGTTCCAAACACTGCTGCATACCTGGACTGTTATATGAGTGTGGGTATGTACAGTGTCAAGTATAAAAACTCCCAAACACCAAAAATATTTTCCCTCGCTCTTTATAAAGAAGCAACATTCAAAACACCATCTTGTTCTAATCTCTTGCAGCTCCCAGAACGGAACTGGACATACTAAAATGAAATCATCACATGTTTTACAAAGCAACCTCAAAGGATTTTTAAAAGCAAAGATTAAGCAGTAAAGCATCCCATCAAAACTCCCTGTACAGGACAGTACCGCTTCTGTTTATTCTTGAGTTTATGTATTCTCAGTTGTTATATTTCTTTAATAACACAGGCTGGAGGGCTGCTTGAAAGAGAAGGGCTGTCCCTTGACAGAGGGTGAGCCCGCTCAAGGGCTGTAGTAGCTGACAAATATTAGAGCCGCAACATGGAGCCTAGACTTCATGTAAGGACTGAGAATCTGAAGCGAAGAGCTGAGCTGCCTCCACCCAGGCTTAAGAGAGGGTACAACCATGCCTCTGCATGGCCTGCTGTCACTCAGGACTGGCTCCAGTAAGAACAAGGCAGGAGGAGAAACCCATTGTTGTGTTTACGGCTTTTGGCTGTATCTTAACCAGTTGAGGTAATTGGAAAAAAAATAAAATAAAATCAAATGAAACAGAACTTTTCACTTGGACCTCCATTACAGGAGGTCCACACCAATCCAATCCAAAGTTGTGGTCAACTTTACGTCTACTCAAATCCATAGCAGAAATACACTCAATTTTGGATAACGATGTAGAGTTGTTGCTTTCTACAACTACGTAAAACACTCCAGTGTCATTAGCTTGCAGTAAATTCACAGTTTCTCCCTTCGGAAACTTCTACATAGTCTCTATTTTAACCAAAATTAAAGAGGTTAGAAAACTTACCCAAAGATTGACTCATGGAAAGCACGTAAAACTATTTATAAAGCAAATACCCATTCTAACAGTACTTTCAAACAGCGAAATACTTCTTGAAAAGAGGCACAGTATAAACACGAACCTTTCAGACGTATTTATTATTTCCACTCTGAAGTTACTTCTGGAAAGGGAAGCTTAAAAGAGCCTATACGACTGCAAGTGGCAGGAATCAAAAATGTTTGCATTTACCTTTTTTCGTTTTCTCTTCTCCAAATTTTGTTTCTCTGCAAGTGATTTAATTGCTTCAATCCAGGTATCGGCCATTCGTCTGATGCGTAACATCATCCACCTGAATTCCTCATGTCTCGACATCATTTTGTAGAGATTATCGAAGTTGATACGAATTTCAGCCTTCAATTAAAGCATTAGAAAAAACCCCAAAACATTATTCTTCAAATAGTGTACTTTCCAGAAGTCAAAAAAACTTCTCAAATGTGAACTCTGTGCTTTACATTCCTCATTAAAAAAAAAAAAGAGAGAAAAAAAAAGACACACGCCTAATGCTTAAGTCAAGTTGAGATTTTAGTTCAAATATTTAAGATAACTTTAAAGAGATGTTTCTAAGCCACATCAATTACTGTTATTTTTATTAGTAGTATTTGGTAGCACAAGAATATGTTTGCAATGTTTCACAATGTATTTATTCTTGCAGTATAAGATTTGGGTTTGTTCACGTGCTTCAAAATGAGGTTGAAGTATCTCTAAAACGTAATATAAAATCAGAACAGTATGCTGAAGATTCATGTATCTCATGAATCTTCCAAATACAGGAAGTTTCCTATTATACCATGAAGGAAGAAACATTACTAGAGTATAAATTTTAAAGGGAATATTCATTTTAAAGCTAGACTGATCTAAGAACAATTGGGTTTACAAAATGAGAGCGCCTATAACTAAATTATGTAAGCAATGTTCATATACAGCCCAGCAATTATCTTAAAATACCTATGTGCTACATAATTAGGCCATAACAGTTTAGAAACAACTCTGCATGCTGCAGAGTTTTTAAAGGGAAAAAGATCAGGAGTAATCAAAATGTTACTACAAAACTGAAGTGTATATAAGCCTCTTCCATTAATGCGTTTTTATATATAAGGCCCAGATTTACGGGACAATAAAAATGAACAGTTTCACATATGGTCACTTAACAGTGGTGAACAGTCTATGGATTTGTAATTTTTCTCAGTATCTGGGTACAATATTTTATAAATTTAAACACAAAAATGTTTTTAATGGAAATCTACCACCAAGACCACGGTGTGATACAATGACTGGAGAAAATACATGATGAGTTACATATATATACAGTCAAGGATGTTTCCCTTCAATTTCAAGGAGCTGAGGAATAAGAATGGTAAATTCTAGTCTTATTAGCATTTATGTGTCACAGGATTCCAGGATCTTCTGCATGAATGACAATTACTGAATTATTTCTCATGTTTTAATGTTGTTCTTACCACTGTTTTTTGATCGGTTTCTTCATTAGGATTTTTTGCTCTCCAAGGTAAACGAGGACACCAATTTTCAACCTGTAAAACAACCACAAGAAGATAAATCATTCTATTCTAATTTCAGCTGGTTTACCAAAGTCTCTCACTGCCTTTATATTAAATCTTTCCATGGTTTAAATAAGGCATCAGCTGATTAGTAGGTCACTGCAAGGTAAAACTGCTTTTTGCAAGAAAAGCTTAAGAAGACTTTTTGCAATTCAATAGTATTTCAACCTTGCAAATTTGCAACCAAAAGTGGCATTTAGATATTCATTCATGATAATGAATACAGAAGTTAAAACCCTTTCAAGACAGAGGTCAACTATTAAATGCTCTAAATACTGTTTCTCTGAGCAGTTCCTAAATGTTTTCAAAAAGCACTAAGTTTTTTATGCTTCTAGATCTTAAAAAAATACTTATTTTGGAACATTTCCCATCTTCCTAGAATATCTTTATATAAAGGAAAAGCCTGATAAAACCCAAGAATCAAAGCTCCACCTTGTAGCAATCTAGACAAAAAGCTGGAGGAATAAAACCCAAACCACCCTATTTGAAGACTATAAGTAACATCATTATAACATAACTAATAATATCCACAAGTACTAATAGCTGTAATTCTTAGAGAAACATAATCTGTGCAAATGCAATTCTACTATTGTCTACTAGGAAGGAAAAAAAAAAAAAAGTACAACAGCTAGTAGTGAGGGAAGAAACAGCAAATGGATGCAAGTCACTGAAAGCTCCTGTGCTCTCCCTAGGGATCTTGCTTGTCCTGTAGAATCTTTATTATTCACGTGCCTTAAGAAATTAGACCATTTGCTTTGGGGAAGAAGGAATCTCACTGTTGGAGGCAAACCCATGTAAACAGAAACATAACTGTAATGTGAAAAGGCAGAAATGCAACAATTCGTAGGCCAGTTAAGATACCCCATCACTACCAATTAAGTTCCCAACTCCCAGAGTCAAAGTTGCTCTTATGGTTCCTCTCGTCACAGACCCGTCAAAACACAATTTTAGCTTAATCATGCTGCAGTAAGCCTGAAGCATTAGAGATTAAAAGCTTAAGATCATACCAAATGATTGCTTAAAAGACCAATCACAGGAAAATAAATTAATAGACATCATAACCTCATTAAAGAGAAGAAATGTATCAAGCTTAGGTACCTCAGACAAATTATATAAAAGCATTAATTTGAATGCTATGACTTAATCTACTCAACATATTTAATACAACATTTGAAAGCAGTGACTTTATCAATCTCATTTGAAAACATCTGGTTTGCAAACAGTGGTCTCCAACTCCGGAAACATACTAGAAATTGCAGCAATTAACAATCCTAACTTTTATTAACATAAGGTGTGGAATCACTGGTAGAAAACAGCTGCAAGTTCCATATTACAAATCATTCACAGTCCCAATCTTTCTTTCTTTTTTTTTTTTAATAGTACAAATAATTTTGAATTATTCCTAGCATTAAAACTGTTCTAAATTAAGATATGACATTTCAAGGACTACTGTATGTGCCCCTTTTCTGGCGTCATGTATCTCACACTGCACCACCAGGCATCCTAAAGGAATTGAAGATTTTTCAGAGCTGCCAAGGACAGTTAGCAGCATGTCTTACTGACTGAAAAACACAGTTCTGTTCTGCTTTTAGAAACAGTCCTTCTAGTCTAAATTAAATTACAGTAATTCTAATCACAAGTAAACACTTAGGGAATAGACTCAAATTAACATCAGTGTACGCAGAGTGCGCAGCACTCATTTTTCCTTATTGATATTCAGTCAATTCCTCTTTTCATTGGAAAGACCAACTTAACTTGCCACAGGATTTTTAAAGGCATAATCTTCAAAATATGCTGGTTGTATTGTTATTTTCAGGACTGATAAACGCACTGGGAAGAACACGTAGGCATTCTCTTATAGAAAAAGGAATTCTGCTCATTTTTATGAGCCAATGGCTCACGAAGAGCTGTTAGATGGGGGTTATAATAATTAACAAGAGCACCAAGAAAGCAAAGATGAGGAAAACGAGTCTGACATACCATGGGAAGGGAAAAGAATTAAAAACCTTATTAATTTAATGTATTGACACAAGAGAAAGCGGGGATGAAGAAGCAAAATACTGACTGATAAACCAGCCAATCCAGGATTACTTTAATAGTGCATTTCAGGTATATTTGGGCAAAAAAAATCAGGGTCATACATGCCCCTAAGATGGATACATTACGATAGCAAAATCTGCCAAAATGCTAATACAAATTCTGTTCAGACATGAGATAATTTTGCAGATAATGAAAGAATCAACTGGAATTAGTAAGTCACGGTTCCCAGAGAAATTGAGAGGAAAATCAGAATATGATTAGTGTGATGGCAGAGGGCAGAACACGCAAACACTGACCACTGAAGGTCATGCACCAGAAGACACTTTTAGATCATAGTAGATATTACCAGGTAGATACAGAGCGAAGAAAGCAGAAGTGAAAAACTACAGCAGGGAAGCCTACACAGCCCGTAACATCTGTATTTAGAGGTGACTAATACTCAAGAAACATCACACTTCCAACAAAAACAAGGTTTTCAAGGGGAACAGAGATATTTCTCTCCATCTCCGGTTCTTGCTTCCCTGTTCAGTGAGAGTAAGAGATGATCAGCAGTCTATACACGCTTTGGTGAAAGGGAGAGGGGTTTCAACCTACACAACTACTACAAGGTATCAAAGACTTGAGAAACAGCCTTTCTAGAACTATTGGGAAACGAAATGATAGCATCGACTTCTACTACAGAATGAAAAAGTCTGCTGATTTGATGTTACTTATACAAGATGCCAAGCAGGCTGCTAAGTTTTCTTACTGCTTTCCTCAAAAACCTAGCAATTGCATTTTTATATGTATTTCAAGTAAAGAGCTTCCAGTTAACTGTTTTTTTTTTTTTGCATTGCACTATATAAAATTAAGGTCTATAGCAGTACAAAGCCTCAGTAAAGACTGCTTAAAAATCCTGTAAAGAAATAGTACTCAAGAATTTATGTCAGAATTAAAAGCAACAGTTTGCACTAACCCAGATAAGTAGCAGAGTGAACTTTGTGTTTCTCTCTATACAGCTCCATGTAACGATACACAGTAGTGCAGAAGACATACTACTACTGTTGCAATTGATTTCAATAACCATACCGTTGGCCTTTTTCAAGACAACCACTTTCTGCGCTTTCCTTTGCTCTTTCATGACTTGGCCTTCCTCTCTTGCCCAGTGTCCCAGGACACAAGCCAAACTGAGCATTTAAGCACTTCCTGACCGGAACATGCCATTTCTCACCTTTAAGCCTGGGAACTACTTCTGATTGCAGCTCTTGGGAGGACCTACAGTTTTGTGAGAGCTTCAGATGACCTAAAGTAGGTGGGTGGGGTTTTTTGTTTGGTTGGTTTTTAAAGAAGTAAGTATCGCTACTTCAGCTAATCACTTCAGGGTTTCTCACACAGAACACCACAAGGATGTCTGTAACTAAATATGAAACCTAAGTGGTTAAGTAATTTTCTTGGTTGCCTTGCATGACACAAACGTGGCCCGCAACAGCAACTCTAGTTGTGCTCCTCATTTCTGAACAAGTCCTGCAGCTGTTCTCAGATTCAGACTATTAACCACTGCCATGGGAACTTCTCTGAAAATAAGAGTGGGTGCTATAGTTATTGAAAAATGCAGGAGGATGCTCATGAAACAATCATTTTCCAAGCAAATAGCAGTGAAAACTTAATCCATTTTTCCCAGACTTACTGATGTAACATAAGTACCGGTCAGGTTTAATTTCAGTGAGAACTAACTTCCAGCCATAGATGTGGGAGAAAGAAAGGTAAGGAATGTCTTAAACTGCTCCGATTGACTTGAGCGGAGGCCTTCAACCTCCTTTGTCTTGTGTGACAAATAAGCATGAACAGTGATGCAAGCTCTGCGAAAATACCCGGTGCCCGGAACTTGCTTTTCTCCCCTTGCTCCCAAATTGCATAAAGAAATCCTATCAGCTTTCACTGAAACTACCAGGGATGAGACAGAGATAGGGCAGGGAATGTGAAGAGAAGAATTAGGGACTTTGTTTTGCAACGCATTTTCTGGAAGCTCCTAATACAGAACAGGGTGACCTGGGGGCAGGAGTCGAGAAACTTGCGTTGGTTGGTAACCCGTAACAAAAAGGCTTGCAGAAAATGCAAGAGCATAAAAGCATAACTTGTCCCGGGACAGGAATATTTGTGATCAAATATCATGTACAATGGGGGAAAAGTGTGTGTATACATAAAAAGGTGTGTATAGATGTGTATGTATATGATTATAAACAGGAAGACGATATAGCATGTGCTATAGCAAGGATGATACAGCAAGGCTGCAGTATGCAGTTACAAATCTGGTACTGTTCCAAGCACACACACCTTTTCTCTGTCATTGGCGATGACAACAGAAAGGATTATGACAACATTAAAGTGGGTCTAGATGAAATCGCCATCAGAAACATCCAAGTACTTCAGCTTTGAATTTGTTTAGGTACAGAATATCCACATGCAACAAGCCCTAAGTTTCAGCAAAGGGAAGGAGGGCAGTGGTGTTCATTCGGATCCTGTTCTTCAACTTGTTTATGCGTTTCATTTGATCATTTATAACAAAACACAGATGTCTCTGAAGAAGGAACCAGGACTCCTCCCTTTTCAGGACAACCTTCCTCTCACTGGGTTAGCATCAGTTATTTCTGTAGCTTATTCTCCCCATAGCAACCGTTACACTGTCATGCACATGATTTAAGAGGAAGGATGTGATATCAGACTACGGATTAGCAGTCAAAGAAGATTGTTGGGAAGCAGCAACTGCAGATTTGAAGACTGACCGTTTTTTGGATGAGTGATATAAACACTAAGCTATTATTCAGAACACACTATATTTATCTTTGTACCGTCCTGTTTTTGAATAAGGCCAGCTGTGCTTCCTGTACCTAGTGTTGAATTCGACGCCAATCAAATGCATTAGGTAGTCTTTGCTCATGCTCGAGAAACTAGGT